ACACCAGGATATCAAGGTCACGATGACAGGATGAATAGAGGGCAACGCAGTGTCACGCCAGGACATCAAGGTCACGATGACAGGATGGATAGAGGGCAATGCAGTGTCACGCCAGGACATCAAGGTCACGATGACAGGATGGAGAGAGGGTAGCCCACTGTCACACCAGGATGGCAAAGTCGCAGTGACAGGATTGAGAGAGGGTAGCCCACTGTCACACCTGGACACCACAGTAACGGTGACAGGATGGAGAGAAGGTAACCCACTGTCATACCAGAACATCAATGTCACTGTGACAGGATGGAGTGAGAGTAGCCCATTGTCACACTAGGACATCAAGGTCATGGTGACAGGATGGAGAGAAGGTAACCCACTGTCACACCAGAACATCAATGTCACTGTAACAGGATGGAGAGAGAGTAGCCCATTGTCACACTAGGACATCAAGGTCATGGTGACAGGATGGAGAGGGGGTAGCCCACTGTCACACCAGGAGATCAAGGTCATGATGACAGAATAGAGAGAAGGTAGCCCAGTGTCACGGTCACTGTGACAGCATGGAGAGAAGGTAGCCTGGTGCCACATCAGGACATCGAAGGTTATGGTGACAGGATGGATACAGGGTAACCCAGTGTCACACCAGGACATCAATGTCACGGGGACTGGATGGAGAGAGCGTAGCCCAATATTACACTAAGGTGTCATGGTCATGGTCATGACAGGATGGAAAATAGGTGGCTGCCTGTCACATCAGGAAACCAAGGTCACGGGGACCGGATGGAGAGAGGGCAGCCCCGTGTCACATCAGGATATCTAGGTCACGGTAAGAGAGAGATAGCCCAAAGTCACAGTCATGGTGAAAGGTTAGCCCGATATAACACAAGGCTGTAACAGTCACGTTGACAGGTTGTAGAGGGGGTAGCCCAGTCTTTCAGCAGGGCAAGAACGTGAAGGTGAACAATTGTAGATTGGATAACCCAGTGTCACACAAGTGTCTCAAGGTCACAGAGAAGCTAGCCCACGGTCTCTCCAGGGCATCAGAGTTACAGTGACAGGATGGAGAGTGGGTACTCCAGTGTCAGACCAGTTTGTTATGGTCAGTGTGACAGCATAGAGAGAAAGTAGCCCGGTGCCACATCAGGACATTGAGGTTATGATGAAGGGATGGATCGAGGGTAACCCAGTGTCACACAAAGGTGTCATGGTCAGAGTGACAGGATGGAGAGAGGGTAGCCCAATGTCACAGCAGGGCACAGTGGCGAAAGGATGGAGAGATGATAACCCACTGTTACATATTGGCATCACAGTTACAGTGGCACCTGGGAGAGAATGTAACCTAGTGTCACAAAAAGGTGTCACGGTCAAGGTGAAAGGATGGAGAGAGGGCAGCCCCATGTCACACTAGGACGCAGCGGTGACAGGATGGAGAGAGGGTACTCCAGTGTCACACCAGGGTATCACAGTTATGGTGACAGGATGGAGAGAGGGCAGCCCAGTGTCACACCAGGGCATGACAGTTACGGTGACAGGATGGAGAGAGGGCAGCCCAGTGTCACACCAGGGCATGACAGTTACGGTGACAGGATGGAGAGAGGGCAGCCCAGTGTCACACCAGGCCATCACAGTTTCAGTGGCACCTGGGAGAGAAGGTGACCTAGTGTCACACAAGGGTGTCACGGTCACCCTTTTTATATGTATGGTAGCACTTAAGAAAATCTCTCTTCTTTGCATTTTGTATATTAATTCTTTCAGTGTATTCAAATGGAAAAAACCTTCCAAACTGACACACTGCAAATGCATGATTCCCTATTAGACTTTATACTTACTGCTCCATCAGTAAGGGTGAATTCATGATGCATCGATGGTTATTTTGTGAGCTGTTTTTTGCTGCCAGCTTACACTGACTACTACACATGGATATTTAATAGCATGTTATTCTTACAGCTATAAGAAGCATGAGGCACCTTCCTACTGACCCTTACGGTGGAGGATTACACTGCTTGTAGGCAGGCTGCCTGTACTTTTCAGTTAACATCATTCTATTCCACAGGGCCTTTGTGATTTCTTAGTGTTTCTCTGAAACAGATACTTTTGATAATGGATGCTTGCTTCGGATTGCAGGGCTTGCCCCAGAAAGCAAACTGCTGACATTGATTTGAATAAGCATATCTGAAACGTGAAGTGCCTTTTTATTAAACCATTAGTATTGCACAAAAATATTGTTGATGCTCAAAAAAAAATCCTCTCAGCTGACACTCTGATTTTACTGTTTGCACACACAGGTCAATAGAAAATGAAACGTTCACGCACACAGCTTCATGTTAATGTATTTTCTTGCCAGCGTTTATAGTTTTACAATTCTGTCGAGCAACATAAACAGTTCTTGCCTTGTGACCACATCGATCAATCAAGGCTACTGAAACCAGATTGGTCGTCACGTCTTCAACTTTGCGCATCGCTTCTGAAGGGTCTCACAAAGTCCAGATGATGTTTGAGAAAAAATAAGGGCACCAGCATATTAGGCAGTCACTTATTAGATACTTTAAAATGTTTTTTTTTTTTTTTTTAATATTTTAATTTCAGGTGCTGCATAATGACTTAGCAGGGGGCAAAGAATCTGCCTGTAGTCCCTTTGGTCAAGACAAAAACACGCAGAACAAGCCCCATACATCACGAAACAGTTTGTACTGCAATATTCAAGGAAAAGCCTTGAACTTTGCTTTAAAGCCCACGATTGTTCCCAGTCAGCATTCCTACTCCGCTTTGATGTCTATTATCCTCTGTGGTATGCTATGAGAAG